AAGCTATTTCATCTATTTCTTATTCAAATTCAAAAATTCCATCCTCATAGATATTTTAAATCTAAATTAAATATAAATTGACTGTCATCCTTTGTGTAAAATAATATAAACAACTCTTTAAAGAAAAATATATTGAATAATAAAATATTTATAATAATAATATTTTAAACCTCAAAATGAAATAAAATAAAAAAAAATAAATTAAATAATAAAAAGACTGCCGAATTAAATGTCTAACCAATCTAATAATTTATATATTTCATAAAGTGAAAATAACACAATTTAAAACTTTAAAATATAATAAAACCATATAATTAGGATTAAAATATAAATTATCCAAAATTATAAAATAAAACTTGAAATAATTAGTTATATTGAGCAAAATAAATATGTGTAACATAATATAGTCGAATTAAAACAAATAATATTTAGTGAGGAATCAACATACAAATAAACTTAAAAAATAATATTATGACAATAGCATAACTAAAATAGGATATTTATCAAATTTCGTGACCAAATTGAATATTACCAAAATATTATAACACTAAAAATCAATGACTAGTATACAATAATTATAAACATTATAACCAAAGTCAAATAATAACATAATATATAATAATGTGACTAAAATAAAAATATTAAAAATTAAACACTTAAAACAAAATAAACATAATAGTTAAAGAATTAAATTTAAAGTATTGAAAAATGTAAAGCATAAATAAAAATAAAAAATTAAAGTGATGAAATTAAAAGACTGAAATTAAATAAATAAAATTAAAATATAATGTAAAGGATTAAAATAAAAGATATCAAATATAAAGCCTAAAATAAAATAGTTCAGAAAATTAAAATATAGAATGAAAATGACTAAAATATAATAAAGTTAAGCATAAAGATCAAAATAAAATAAAATGAAAATATAACAGCTAATTTCGAAACAATAAAAAATAGATAAATTAGGAACTTAAGTGTAAATATGCACCTAAATTATAGGAATTATTTGACGATTAGCCCTTAAATTAAATGAACAAAGTAACAAGGACCTGACACATGATTTTCCCAAAAAATTAATATGAAAGTCCCCTTTTATATCTTTTCCAATAACCCATGAATAGAAAAATTCCCTGCCCTTCTCTTTCATTTTCTTCTTCATGGCTGAGAAGGCATCTCTCCCCTCTCTCACGAACGGTGCCTCCCCAAGGACCAAGGGAATCTAACGCCGGCCACCACAAAACAGTGGTCACCCCGACGAACGGCGACCGACCACCAAACAAAGGTAAAAGTCTAAAACTACCCTAGTTTTTACGTTTTTATTTCTGTTCGAAAAAGAATAAGGAAAAAAACTAAAAATGAAACTAAAAAATAACCTTGAAATGTTCTTGTTGTTGTGTATGGATTTCGAATGACAAAAGAAAATATAGATAATTGTTACAAAATAACCTCCTCTTCCAGAGAAAAGATGAAATCCCCATTTTTGCCTTACAAGGTTTTTCCCGTAAAACCAAAAAACCCCTATTTTTCTTTATTTGTTCTGTTAATTCCTCCCCCCGTTTCGTTCGTATCTGCCCCCTTTTAATCTCACTAAATGGTATTCATCATTGATGTAGTGGAGAATTAGGTTCGTTCTTTTATATTGTTTTAGTGGGATTAAATGGGATTTGGGTGAGTGAGTGGGGGTATTATCATGGGCATAGGTAGTGGGTTAGGTTTATTTAGTGGTTTAGGTAAAAATTTGAGTGGGATTTTATGGGAATGGTGGAGGCATGGGCTGCTTGGCTTTAAGTGGGCGTTGAGTTGTTATATAAAATAAGAAAAATGATGCTTACAGCTGCCCCTCTTTGCTCATTGATGTGAAACAGAAATGAAGCAAAGATAATAAAGCACCATTTTCCATCTTGGTCTCTTCTTGTCACATTGTGAACTCTTTACTGGGAATGCCAATTCTTCTCTTTCTGCAGAATTCGTCGGGTCCTTGCCGCAAATGATATCATCTTTTACTTCATTCTCTTGGCCGAGTCTTCATCTTTAGTTCCTCAGGTTATGGGTTCTTATCATTATGATCTTTCCACTGGAAATGTTGATCCCTCTAGCGAGGCGTTTCTGATTCGAAGTGTTGTGAATCGAGTACAAGTTTGAACAAGCTCTTCATTATGAATTCTCTACTGGCAATGTTGGTCCCTCGAGTAAGGTGTTGCTGATTCAACTCCATTTGTGATGTATTGAGTATCAAAAATGTTGAAAACACCCTGCCTGAAGGTCTTATGGATGGCCCGAAAGACTTATCATCATACTCGAAAGACTTATAGATGACGCGAAGGATTTAAGCATCATGCTCAAAATACTTACTGATGGCCCGAAGGACTTACTCATCAAGAAAACCTTGAAAATCAAACTTAGTTTCTTATAAAATTTTTTGTTTCGAGAGAAACTTTCTCAAGCGAGATAAAATCTTCTGTTTCGAGGGAAACTATCTCAAGTGAGACAAAATCTTCTATTTCGAGGGAAACTATCTCAAGCGAGACAAAATCTTCTGTTTCGAGGGAAACTATCTCAAGCGAGACAAAATCTTCTGTTTCGAGGGAAACTATCTCAAGCGAGACAAAATCTTCTGTTTCGAGGGAAACTATCTCAAGCGAGACAAAATCTTCTGTTTCGAGGGAAACTATCTCAAGCGAGATAAAATCTTATGTTTCGAGGGAAACTATCTCAAGCGAGATAATCTTCTGTTTCGAGGGAAACTATCTCAGGCGAGATAAAACCTTTTGTTTCGAGTGAAACTATCTCAAGCGAGATAAAATCTTCTGTTTCAAGTGAAACTATCTCAAGCGAGATACAATCTTCTGTTTCGAGGGAAACTATCTCAAGCGAGATAAAATCTTATTTTAAGAAAAACAATCTCAAGTGAAATAAATCTTCTTATTTCGAGTAAAAATGTCTCAAGTTAGACAAATCTTGTTTTAAGAAAAATAACATGTAGTGAAATGAAATGTCTTGTTTTGAATAAAACCTGTCTCAAGTGAGACAAATCTTGTTTTAAGAAAAATAATCTTGAGTCAAATGAAATGTCTTCTTTCAAGTAAAACAGTCTCAAGTGAGACAAAGTCTGTTTTAAGAAAAACAATCCCCAGTGAGATAAATCCTCCGTATTAAATGAGACTGTCTCAAGCGAGACAAAATTTGTCTGGAAATGTTGAATATGAAGATGATTGTTCCCTCTTGCAGAGGATGTCTTGTTGTCTTTTACTCTCATTTTTTCCTGAAAGATCTGTAAAATGTAGTTGAATGCAACTATCCTGATGAAGGATGTTTGATGCAAATATGCAAATTCATGTATGTATAATGCATGTTCTTCTTAATTAATAGCAGTGAAAATGTGCTCAAGCAATCTTGGTTCTCTTCTTGATTTGTTCGTCTTCATTCTTCTCTCACACCAAGGTGTAACATCGCATTTCTTTGCAAACATCTGCTTTCCTGGCTCCTTAACACAAACTTTTTTTGCCTCAATTTATGATTCTGAGCTTCTAGGTCTGAGGGACCTCTGTCAATTTCCAGGCTAAACTCTCCAGAGAGATTGTCCTGTTTGAAAATGTTTTCTTTCTTTTTATTTTCAAAATATGGAAAGTTCGTTTTAGTAAAAACGTCATTCTTTTAGGCTCACAATTGAAGCCAATCACAGAATATGAGTTCAGTAAATATCAAGAGAATCAACAGCTCTTTTAATCTTTCAAAGTTATACCTCTTTGTCAAGTGTCAAAATTGATAGGTTGGTTTTAGGTTAGTTCCTTAAAGTTTCTAAGGTTTCACTCATTGAAATGATATTTCTTGTTCGATCCCTGTAAACCTTACGACATGCCCCTCTTCTTTGGCTTGGCATTTTAATCAGATGCTGACAAAATGACGCAACTAATATAATCAATCAATAGACTTTCTAGAACGCTTCTGTTTCAATTCTCTGAAATATTTCATTTGTTCAAGCTTAATAGACTTCCTTTAACAAAGGTAATGCAGTGACAACAATCTAAACATAAAATTCATGCGTGCTTGTGTGAGGTTGACTATAACAAGTGTTCCCCGATTCCCTTAGTCAATTTTCATCGAAACTCATTATTAGATCAAATTGATTTAATTTGCCATTGTCTGGCTAACTGAATTCAGCTTTATTGTATATACCTTATAATCGCCCTCAATGGGCTAGCTGAAGGGTTCGTCTCATCACAAGATCTTTGACTTGACAATTACAGTGGAGCAAACACCGAACTGCCGAGTATCCGAATAATGTCATGGTTTGAATGCAATCTATTCATAAAGCCAGGGCTTTTGAGTTGCCTCTATAACCAATTGCTTTAGCGGAATAGCTCAGCTTTATTGTATAATCTATAGTAATAATTTATTAGCTTTTTTTGAGCAGTCAGATTTAAAATTTCTTAAGCTCATCGAGAAGAACCTGTTATAGTCTAGGTGTCCTTGATTGTTAGGAAATCTCACATTTAGAATCTAGTTCCCAAACAAAATGACCTAAACTAAATTCATCTGTTTCACCATTCCATTTGCGAAGATTAGTATCATCACTAAACGTCTTCAACAGAAGTGTAGTCTAGTAAGTTTTGCAATGTCATACACAAGAAATGACCCATGTTGTCTGCTCCTATTCATACCTGAATGCCAATCCTTTTGATCATTTCCTCATGAAAGGAGAAGGCTAAAGTGGTCCTTGCAAGAGAAGGGTATGAGGTTCAAATGTATCATATGTGGTAAGGTCAAGGGTCCTTGTTTTATCAGTTTTCAATCTTGTCATTTTGTCAAAGATCTATAACTCTGATTCTTAAAAGAGCTTTTAATCAAGATGATTTTTAAAGAAGGTAGCATTTAAAATGTTTGATTCTCAAGTGACTTACAAAGTTTTTAACGAAAAGAGAAAGAAAAGAAATTCAAACAAGACAATATGCTAGTGCATCAAAAAGTTCGTAGTGGTTGCAATGATTTTTTCTCAGTTTGCATCAGAATGCCCTATCATCCTTTGAATGTCCATGCACCTGAATCGATTAAGTGTAAAACCTTGCGCTTCAATGCCCCATAATTCTCACTAGTATGCCCCGAGCTTCCCATGTGGTAGCTACATATTGCATTAGCATCATGCCCCTCAGGAAATGGGGGTTCTTTCGGTTTAAACCTAAATGGAGTCACGAGATTCTTCTCAACTAGTACTGCGAGCAGCTCTTCATATGTCACCAAAATTTTACTAATAGGGGTCTTCTCTCGGGTCATTTTATAAGGTTTGGCCCCATGATTAGCAGAATAAGAACTCACTGTATTGACATCAGCTCCTTTCTTAACGTCGGTACTGTCAGAGCCTCTTATCTTGCCATTCCTAATGGCATTCTCGATTAATTCCCTGGAAATGAACAGGTCGGCAAAGTTCTTGGTAGCATTTCCTACCAGATGCCCCAGATATGGATCCTTCAAGGTATTCACAAAGATAATTGTAGTCTCATTTTCCAGCAACGGTGGTTGTACTTGTGATGCCACATCGTGCCATCTTTGGGCGTACTGCCTGAAGGTTTCATTGTGTCGTTTTTCCATGTTTTGCAACGTCCACCTGTCAGGTACCAGGTCAGTGACGTGACTATAATGCTCCAAAAATGCTCGTTCCAAATCTATCCATGATTTGATCTGGGATCTGGTCAACTGATTGTACCATTTGACCGCCGTTCCAATCAAACTATCTTAGAACCAATGTATCAGAAGCTTATCGTTTTCAGTGTAGCCCGTCATTCTCATGCAGAACATGATGAGGTGGGCTGATGGGCAAGTGCTTCCGTTGTATTTTTCAAAGTCTGGTGCTTTGAACTTTGGGGGTAATATGAGGTCAGGAACCAAGCTTAGATCCCTTGCATCACTCCCATAGAATGCATTGACCATCTCCTTGGATTTTACCATCTCTTCTATATCTTTCATTCTTTGGATAATCTCTTCATTTTCAGCTAATTCATTTTGGTCAGGGACCTCAATATTAACACAATGTTCACCTGGCTTCAGCCCAGAAGCAGTAGGACAATCAGTGGGGAATGAAGCTCCAATATTATATTATGTGTTCTGGATAGTGAAACAGACTGGTGATCGGATTCCTTGATGAGCAGAGATGTGCTTAGGAATGTGAACAGGCGTGAAACCCAGAGGATGTATGGGGTCTTCCACAGTGGTCTTTCCAGTGATCAAATGTCTCCTAAACATTTCTTCCACCTTGTTCAACAGGTCTAGCTGAGAGTTTGCGATATTAGCCTCAAGTTGTGCTAACTTGTTCTTCATTTCTTCTTGCATATCTTTATGTTCTCTCTCAATTCTGGCTAAATTATCCTCTATTTCTTTAGGCATTTTCTTTCGTCAATGATGATAAGCACTCTTGCTACCAGTATGAACCTAGATCACTGCGATCAGAAACCTTATCTTATTATCATTACTTTAATGAATGAACGCTTTAATGCATGATTCGAAAATGTATTGATGAATGCAAGTGTCATGCAAAATGAATGTATGCATAAGACATTGATCAAAAAATAACTGTTCCTAGAACAATTCTTAAAAAAAAATTCGACAATGTCTCGGTACACTGGGGAAGTAAAAATCTGGTCTATCTACAAGTCGCCTAGCTCCTGCGAGCATCTGAGAACTGCATCGTCTTCAAAGCTTCTATTTCATCTTCCACTTCCAAAAATCTTCCGAGCTGGTTCATGATCTTCAATTGTTGACTTCAGCATCGAATCTTCTTGATTTCAACTTGTTACCTCAGCAGGTATACGTCCGGCTCGTCTCCTTGGTAAGTAGACTCCCTCCAGCTACTCGATCTACATGAAGCATATTCGAAATCCTACCGATCCCAGAGAAAGGCATTGCTGTGATATTGTTTTTCAAGAACCTTCTACATAACCAGTCATTTAAGGATCAATATCTTTGAATGATATGTCATGTTCATGCAAAAATGAAATAAGAGTAGACAAAAGGAAACCAATGTTAGTAGAAACAAAACAAAAATAATCAAGTTAGTTGAAATGATTAGTCCGGAAATATAATTTTAGCATAAATAATTAAATACGAATCAAAGTTGAGACTGAAAAAAAAGGAATACAAAGAGAATTAATAATCCTAACCGTATGATTATTAGTTCGCATGCATTTATTCAAAAAAATAAATTAATTAATAGACAAAAGTTAGAACTTATTTCTCCTTTGTGTACACTTAATTTGGGTATCTACTGACAGACAAAGGTTCGATATAACTATACCTAGGGTGACCGTTCTATGGTTCACTGTATGCATGGTTTCGACTCTATGAGGAAAAAGGTACTCGAATTGTCCTTGATGTTAGTGCCCCCTTGGGCTGCTAAACCCCCGATCCTTACCCATTACAGGCTTAAGCGGATCGAGTTCAATTCGAGAGGATACATTCCCTTATGCCTATGCGGAGAATAAATTCACATGAAGACTTAAGGTATATGAATCCTGAAGGTTACTTGCTAGGCCTGCACGGAGAATAAATTCTCACGAAGGCGTCGCTTTCACCCCCACTTAGAAAGGGTTCAGAGCTCGGGTATATAGCTTATGTTATGCAGATGCCTGTGATGTGTGTGAGGAGGAACATTCAACCCTTTGACTCAAAGAAACGAAACCTCTCGACAACAACTTGGACATATCTGAAAGCAAAAATTCAAATGTTAGTATAACAATAAAAATAATGATGCAATTAAAAACTTCAATAAAAGATCATAAGTTAACTAAAGACTCGAACTCATAATTTTCACCACAACAACAATGAGTAAGTGACTTACAGCCTGACTCTCTAAAATAAGTTCCCAGCGGAGTCACCAAGCTGTCATAACCGTTTTTCGGCGGAACAATTATTTAATTGTTTAAAAAATAGTTACGACTTTTAATTTTGGAAAATTTGGTGATTTGGAATTAAATTAGATAAAATTGAAAAGATTCGTCATCGACCTTTGGATTAGGTTGGTCGAATACCTAAAAATGTCTTTTTAAAAACTATTTTAAGAAAAATCATTTTTTAAGACAAAGGCTGGTTTGCGTTTACCAAAGATTCGATTAAAACGAGTTTGGAAGTCGGTTATGCGTGGGGAAGGATTAACACCCCCACAACGCCCAAAATTGGTACTGTGTCGCTTACACGTTGTATTAATGGTGGAAATCATGAATCAAATATCAAGTTAAAATATGATTCGTTTATTTAATATTGATTGATTTACTTCAAATTAATTAATTAATTAAAAATATTCTTTAATTTGAAAAGAAATCTCGACATTAGCAATCCCTTGGCGGGAAAGCTATTTCATATATTTCTTATTCAAATTCGAAAATTTCATCCTCATAGATTTTTTAAATTTAAATTAAATATAAATTAACTGTCATTCTTTGTGTAAAATAATATAAACAACTCTTTAAAGAAAAATATATTGAATAATAAAATATTTATAATAATAATATTTTAAACCTCGAAATGAAATAAAATAATAAACAAAATAAATTAAATAATAAAAGACTGCCAAATTAAATGTCTAACCAATCTAATAATTTATATATTTCATAAGGTGAAAATAACACAATTTAAAACTTTAAAATATAATAAAACCATATAATTAGGATTAAAATATAAATTATCCAAAATTATAAAATAAAGCTTGAAATAATTAGTTATATTGAGCAAAATAAATATGTGTAACATAATATAGTCGAATTAAAACAAATAATATTTAGTGAGGAATCAACATACAAATTAACTTAAAAAATAATATTATGACAATAGCATAACTAAAATAGGATATTTATCAAATTTCGTGACCAAATTGAATATTACCAAAATATTATAACACTAAAAATCAGTGACTAATATACAATAATTATAAACATTATAACCAAAGTAAAAAAACATAATATATAATAATGTGACTAAAATAAAAATATTAAAAATTAAACACTTAAAACAAAATAAACATATAATAGTTAAAGAATTAAATTTAAAGTATTGAAAATGTAAAGCATAAATAAAAATAGAAAATTAAAGTGATGAAATTAAAGGACTGAAATTAAATAAATAAAATTAAAATATAAAGTAAAGGATTAAAATAAAAGATATCAAAATATAAAGTCGAAAATAAAATAGTTCAGAAAATTAAAATACAGAATTAAAATGACTAAAATATAATAAAGTAAAGCATAAAGATCAAAATAAAATAAAATGAAAATATAGCAGCTAATTTCGAAACAATAAAAAAATAGATAAATTAGGAACTTAAGTGTAAATATGCACCTAAATTATAGGGATTATTTGATGATTAGCCCTTAAAATAAATGGACAAAGTAAAAAAAATCCCAGAAACCAAGGATCTGACACATGATTTTCCCAAAAAATTAATATGAAAGCCCCATTTTATATCATTTCCAATAACCTGTGAATAGCAAAATTCCCTCCCCTTTTCTTTCATTTACTTCTTCATGGCTGAGAAGGCATCTCTCCCCTCTCTCACGAACGATGCCTCCCCAATGACCAAGGGCATCTAACGCCGGCCACCACAAAACAGTGGTTACCCCGATGACCGGCGACCGACCACCAAACAAAGGTAAAGGTCTAAAACTACCCTAGGTTTTACGTTTTTATTTCTGTTCGAAAAAGAATAAGGAAAAAACTAAAAACGAAACTAAAAAAATAACCTTGAAATGTTCTTGTTGTTGTGTATGGATTTTGAATGAAAAAAGAAAATATAGATAATTGTTACAAAATAACCTCCTCTTCCAGAGAAAAGATGAAATCCCCCCTTTTTGCCTTACAAGGTTTTTCCCGTAAAACCAAAAACCCCCTATTTTTCTTTATTGGTTCTGTTAATTCCTCCCCCCTATTTCGTTCGTTTCTGCCCCCTTTTAATCTCACTGAATGGTATTCATCATTGATGTAGTGGAGAATTAGGTTCGTTCTTTTATATTGTTTTAGTGGGATTAAATGGGATTTGGGTGAGTGAGTGGGAGTATTATCATGGGCATAGGTAGTGGGTTAGGTTTATTTAGTGGTTTAGGTAAAAATTTGAGTGGGATTATGGGAATGGTGGAGGCATTGGTTGCTTGGCTTCAACTGAGAGCTGAGTTGTTATATAAAATAAGAAAAATGGTTCTTACAATGAAGAATATTCAATTATTTAAAAATATCGAGACCAGATCTTAGATAAGTTCTAACAATCTTTTCTCAAAACATTTAAATAACCGAATATTTCTTTTTCTTTCGTTCCCAAATTTTAAGTGAGAAATCAAATTTTTAAAGTTTCAATGTTGGGATACACTTTTAATTTAAAATCGTCGAAAGCGGCTCTCTAAAAAGTTAAGACAAATCCCTCAAAACAATTTTAAATTAAAAGGGTATTACCCTTAATCCAGTTATGTAATTATATGTCGAGTTATGCACGTGAAGATATCGTACCTATTGTGCAAAATGATGTCGTGTGATCACATACACATTGAAGAATACATAAAAAGCTATCATATGAAGTGACATTTTCATGCAAAAAAATTATATACATATATTTTTGTACTATAATATATAAATTATACGTGTAGTAACACATAATACATAAAGGTGGAATGTGATGTAATGACTAAGTCATATTTAACATAAATTTATGCATAAAATTCATGAACTATTATTTAATACGAAAAGGGGAGGTATAAAATATTTATCGCTTTTATATATTATAATATGTACATATGGTGAAGGGAATATTCAATAAATAATATGAAAAATAAATATATATATATATAAATATTTAACATATATATATATATATATATATATATATTCATACACGTCATTCATTAGCTCAAGCAACAACATCAAACCTAGAAGCTTTTCATACTTCAATCAGGCACACCCAAACACACACGAAATTACATAAACGCATAGCGAAAGTTGTCGAAACCAGCTTCTTATTTACTCGAAAACAGTATTAAACAACATTGTAAGCATAGGCGAGGTATGTACCGAGCGTTTTGATCACCTCGACTCCCAGATCCAACAACGCCTGCGGTGTCAAAATATTGTTTGTCAGCTTCACGTACGAGACAGTCAGATTCACCGTGGTTCCCACGAGCTTTTGATCGACTTCGATTTTGATGGTGAAAGTGCTGAACTCAGTCGACAGGTCCCCCTTCTTTGCTTTGCAGGAATGACTATTTATCCTCTTCAAAGAGGATCTTCTTTCCCTTATTAAGAGATTTGAAAATCTCTCCTCATAAAATAGAGATTATTTTCCTTCTTAGATTGATTTGGATCTATTATACTTTAGAAAATAATAATATTATTTTCAAAAGATTATTATTCTT